AAGACCATTGTAAAATATAGTGACAGCCCACAAGTAGAAGACTATTATTACCCAAGCTTGCAGAACGCTCAGAATCTGAGCAAATGAAGTGCCATATTGTCGCTCAGAGCGACGGTCTCACCCTCACCCAAGCCTTCGAGACGCCCAAGGTTTGAGCAAATATAGCGTTCTGTTCAGTTATTGAAGCGGTTATTGAGCAACTTTATCACCCCACGATCCAAAAATCTCGGTTACAAGCGGTTAAACAATAAGAGCAATAACAACAGTTGCTAACGGGAGTTCCTTACACAATCGTCTGAACATATTTTTAATTATTAACGATAACCCGCGTGAAACAGATTTATATAAAACTCATTAGCAATTTCAATTCATTTTTCTAAAAAAATTTCAAGTCTTTTGATTCAAATTCATCGTGGTATCCAGATCAATGCTTAATTCTCGTTGTATTTGCAAATTGCGGTGAACAAGTTTGCGTAGTTTAATCTCTATAGCATAATCATGCAAAAAAATAAAAATCAAACTCTACACTATTGGCTACTTAAATCCACCACGTGATACTGGTTAATATATTTGCGAGTTCAAAAGTTTTTAATATATCAATAAGTGGAATTAATAGGTATAACCAAATACATCGGTATATTGGGAACTTAAGATAAGCAAGCAAAGTAGTAAATGTGTAATTGTGTTTGATCGCTTAACCATTTCTTTCAAAGAGCATGCTCACGAGGTTTTGTTTTAAATTAAATTTCAAGTGATTATAAGCTACGAGCCATATGACATATGTATATTAATATGTAAATAATAGTTGTGAATCAAGCGAGATCTTTGGATAAATATTAGCTCCTTGTTTGATTGCTATTATTTTTAAAAAATGAAGTTTTAAATAGTAGTTTTTTGAACAATGCCTGGTTAAAATGTATAGAATTTTTTTGGATTTATGTGCAAGATATTTTATTTTGCAAATGAGTGGTTGAAAATAGCGACAGATCCCGCACTCGACGAGGTGGCGCGGCTGCATGGGCTAGATCCAAAAGAGTTACAATTGCCTCCGGGATGAAGCTTGAAATCAGACTGAATCACAGGTGGGCAGGTCAAAAAAAAAGAAGACATGTCAGTGGATTGGCCTTTTTTAAAGTTTGGGCCTATTGCTTTTTTAGAGAAAAAATAGGCCCAAATCCAATTAGCTGCTTGGGATTTGAAAAGAAATTACAAAAGAGAACAATACATAATTCCTAATTTTAAAGTTTACATTTCATAAATAACAAACTTATTAAAATATTTCAAAAATCGGGTGATAAATAAATTTATTAAATATTAAAATATAATATAATATATATTAATTATTTATACCCCATGACACCTCACCCACCCACAACACCAGCTTCCCTCCATCTTCGGCACCTACTCCGACGACGGCCCGACGACTGTTCCGGCGATTTCAAAATTTCCAGAAAATTGAAAATTAAAAATCACACCCCCAACCCATGGATCCACCTACCACCACCCCACCCCTACCTCCATCTCCTAAAAAAATTACCGAAATTTTTTTTTTGTTCAATGTGACTGTATTTGACTAATTGTGACCAAGTGTGTATTCAACATGACTAACTGTGACCAAATTTGTGTTGAGTGTGACTGTCTGTGACCAGGTCAATCTCAAGTCACAATCGATCACAATTAACACAAAATCGGTCACAATCAAACGACTGAGAAGGCAACTAACCTTACCATCAACACAANAACACAATCCCTACAACTCTAACTACTACTGAAACTCAAACAATTGGGCAAGCTGCTAGCCCCTCCTCCACTACTAACACCCTCACCATTCCACTTATAGATCAAACCCAAACTCAAACACACAACCAACCAAACACAAAGGTATCTGCAAAATTTAACCATGGAAATCTCATTGAGAATTATAAAATTCCTTCGATGGACTACAACTATGATGAGACAAGAATGTGCACTAACAGAAATAGATACTTCATGTAGTGATGTAGAGAGAACGACTTGATTGTCCACTATTGTAGCTTCAGCCACACATGCGTCAACATTCAAGTAGCAATAAAACAAATATATTTTCAGCCCTCTTTTTCGTCCCAAAATTCAACTTCAAATTCATCCAAAAGTCAACCGTAATGTTGGACTTTTCTTCTCCTCAAATTTTTTTTCTTTCTTTCTTTTTTTTTTTTTCAATTGGCCATGTGTGTGTATATAATCCCCAAAATCTGCTCTCTATTTGCCGGATTATCTTAATCTCTCCAACAGTGGCTTCAAGTCAAGCTTTCTGAAACAGCTTTCCCACCTCAAAAACCTCCAAGTTCTCGATCTATATAACAATAATATGACTAGTGAGTTTCCAGCACAACTGTCTTTGCTCATTACTCTTCGTCATTTAGATTTCGGGGAAAATCTCTTCACTGGTCAGATTCCGCCGGTTTTCGGCACCACCGCCACCATCGCCCTTCTACGCCGCCGCCATTACCAGAGAAGGCAGAGAGAGAAAGAGAATGAGAGAGAGTGGGCGAGTGTGCAGTGGGGAGAGGGGAGAGAGAGAGAGAGAGAGAGAAAAGATACAGAGAGAAGAAAGAGGGCTTTCTGAATGGGTTTAGGGATGAATGGGGGATGGGGGATGGGGTGATGATTACGCTCAAAGAATAACGAGGTAGTTGTAGCACAGTTTTAGGGTGTCGTATTCACAGGGAGATGGAAGCATATTTAAAGGATCAAAAATGCTGAATTGTTATCTCAAATGTGTAATAAAATTTAATGTTGAAAGGTGAAATTAAAATCAATAATTCGAAATAGTGAAGAGTCGGAATTCCCTCAATTGGATTGGATTAATCATATCAATTATTCATTTTTATAACACAATTAGAGGCTTTCATCTCGACACTATAATCGAAAGATATATCGTGAAAATCAATTTAATTTACAAATGTAATATTAGAATTTAGACTTAAAACATATTCGCACAATTTTATTGAAAGATCGACCATATACATCAAGTATAAGGCAGTAATCAATATGCCAATAAAGTGAATTGTATAGAATTAAACTATATTCCAACATATTAATCAACAATTGTTCATGTAATCACAGTAAAATAAGTATGTAAAAACGTACTTATCAGGTAATGAAATATGTAGATTTTAAATTTTACTAATTATAATTAATAATTCCATTTACCACCTGATTTTTGAATTGTAAAATGTATCCTCTTATTTTTGAATTGTAATGTTGAAAAGAAGGGTTTTAAGTAATTTTCTCATTACAAAACCATTATCTTAAATTCCTAATCCAACCAATTCCAAATTTCACGAAAGACAAACCCTACTGGGATGTTTATTTTCTATGATGTTCATTATTGTTTTCACCGACTTTTCAATTAATTATTTTGACGGCTAGTATGCTTATTTTCTTGAATATTTATTATTGTTTTCACCGACTTTTCAATTAATTAATTCAATTAATTAGTTACTAATTGAGATTATTTATTAGAATCTATTATTATCGAGAGAGATAATATGTTTTTAGCTAAAAAAATAATAAATATTGTAAAGTTCAATAGAATGTAGAGATGTACCTCTATCTTTAGATGATTTTCATAGGTTTTCTAAATCGGTTAATGCATTTATCATATTTGTATCTTTCATCGAGAGATAAGAAGATCACATGAGGGGAATAGATTTGATAACTATCGAGAGAGATTTTCAAATAAATTAGAAACACTGACTAACAGATTTGATACAAATTGTCACTTTAATTCATTGTGCTAAAAATGGATTAATAAGGGAAATTCGACATCTTAGCAATACTTTTACATATTTGAAATCATACCAGTTAAATTGTTTTCTAATTTAATTGATAATTTAGATATTAGTATAGAAAACTCAAATCTATTTGCTATTCGATTAGTGTTACTATTAATTTGAACTCGGTCAATCACATAGTTCTTGTCAGTTCGACTCTATTCATTAATACTTGACCACGATCCCGTACACTTGCGGGTTTTCAAAGGATCAGTAACAAAACACGGAGTGCACGTGTAAAAATGTCAAACTACTTTTCTAGACAGAATAGGATGATAAGCCCTTGTTTGACCTTCATTGTTTTCAAAATACATTCTTTTCTCTCTTATGTTCAATTACATGTTTTTCAATAAAATAATATCACACAAAATTAATTTTATTTATTTTTAACCATATATTCTCTATCAATTTACTATTCTAAAATGCACTATTATAGAAAAATAGGGTTCAAAAAGGCTCTAAGTAAAGCTCTCATCATATAAAGGTCGAGGCATTGACCAGGGCATCTTAGCTGCCTAGGTCGACTCTCATATTGAGAGAGAAATTGCATATTGTCAACTTCTCAAGTGATTCCAGTTTAAAGTTAGTTCAATTCTAATATCAAAGAAAAGGTTTTGAAGCCAAAAGAATCAAGAAAGAAGATTAGAAGCAGTAGCCATTTATTACAATAATAATTCCACTAAATTCTTATGCAATTAGTTTAGAACAATATATAAACGTTAATATAATTATTTAATTACACTCTAAACATTCTATTTTAAATAAAATTTCACTATTTGTATTTTCTATAAACTATGCTATTTCAGAAAAAAGTAATAGATACGATGAATTCAATTCTTAATTATCTGTTACCAAGAAAATCATTTTTAATAAAATTTATTATAAAAATATCACGAGTTGACCGGTCAAAGACACATAGATTTCCTAAAGATTAGCCAAGTTTGAATGGGACATGCATTGATCAAATTATTTCACCGACTTTTGACCGCTAAATAGCCAGTTTCCTATACACAATACAACCCTATTTATTCAGAAGAAAAACAAAGGATTACTGGTTTGATTTACATTTTTCAAGAATTTACCTATCAACAGAAGAATTAATTAAGTAAATTGCAACACGAGCATCAGCAAAGAAATTATGCTAAGAATCCCTGTTTTTCAAATAGTGATAATCGAGAATTTTGATTACGATGACGATGAAGGTGGAGACGAGTCGAATTTGTAGTGTTTGTCGACTGCAACAGATACATCCCAGGTGCAACTGAGTCCCTTCGGTAAAATCACAAGATCCCCGGCGCCGAATTCTACTACTTCCGATGAGTATTTAGATTTCACTTTCACTTTCCCCCGGAGTAGATAACAGGTTTCTTGTTCATCAAATTTTAGCTGGTACTTCCCCGGCGGGCAGCCCCATCTTCTCAATATTCACCAGAAACACAAAGCTAATATATTCATAAGAGAACATGGACACATACATATAACATATACACATATTTATATAGAGAGAGAGAGAGGGAGAGAGGGAGAGAGACTTACTTAGGCCAGGATCTGATACCTAATTCAGAGAGTTGTGAGTCTGAAGGGTTGTTTTGGACAATGATTCTGAGATTTGATGAAGAATTTGAGTTCGATTCTGCAGCCATGAAATATTGCTCTCTTTCTCTCTATATGTGTGAGAGAGATTGGGGATGGTTCCGTTTTGACTAGAAACAGTGTATATACCCACACGCGTGTGTATGAGCCTATAGTGCAGTTTTTAGCCTTATGTTTTGATATATTTGACACAAGGAATATGTACAAGGAACGGAGGAAACGCCGTAAAAGTAGAACTGAAATTTTTGAAATAGAGAACAAGAAATTCTATTATAAAAAACATTGCTTACATCATTTGAAGAAAAAAAAAGGATAATTGCAGCAGCGATCCAAAACTTTTAACTTTTAGAGAACTTTACATTAACCTTCAGTTCGTGCAAATGGAGATTCCAAAAAAATTAGACTTTAACCAATTTTAACCAAATTGAAAATGATAAAATAGTAACTTTAGATTTAACCTTTTTTTTCAAATATTATTAACAATAAAAACAATTAAACTAAAAATTTGTCCCACCGCAACATCCAACCAAACACAATCCAAAAGTTGTCGATCGCCACCACCAAATCCAAACCTACAATTGACTCGGTGGACGTTTACCTCGTATATCTCAAATTAATCAATTCAATTCTACAAGAAATTACCGGTGGAGAATCCCTTACCGCAATAGCAACATAGAACATCCGGTCAATTACTGACCAATGTGTTGCACTTTCCCTATTTGAAACCCTCCAAGCAAATCAAGCTATTGCTATAATCAGTATGCACATTTTCCTCCTTGAAACCAAATGGCACCGTCCTTATGTTTGGCATAGAGAATCTCCTTTATGAATCCATGACTTTTGGTTTGGATCTTGTTAAGAGATCACAAAATCTGTCGAAAATGAATTTTATGGACGAGAAAATAGAAACCATGTACACCATGGGAGAAGAGAAATACGTAAAGATCACTCATGTAGATTTTTTGGAATTCCTGTGACTTTTGGGTTCGATTTAGTGGAAGCGATGGTTGAGTTTAGAATGAATAGAAGTGGAAGGTGATGGTTCGATTTAGTGGGGGTGATTTTGTTTTTTGGTTGGCTGTCTAGTTGGTGACTTCGGATTATAGCTTGGTTGGATGTAGGGGGTGAGGGTGGGGGAAGATTTTTTATTTATTTTTAGTTTAATTGTTAATAATATTTTAAAAAAAATTGTTAATTCTAAATTTATCATTTTATTCCTTTCAATTTGACCTAAAAACCTAAAGGTTTAGGACTACCACTGCAATTATTCCAAATCGAATTTTTCAGAAACCTCGAGTTTCACACATTTTAACTAAACACTTTGTTTTGAATATACATTTAAATTTTAAAATTTGAAGAATTTTGAAATTTCATGGCATCTTGAATTTCAAAAAAGGTTTAAAAACTTAGGAGAATCGATAAAACATCGGGGATATTTTTTTATTTTCTTTAATTCTGTATTTGAGAAAGAATTTGACAACGCAACTGAAATCCTATATTTGAAAACACATTTTACATTTCAGTAAATTTCTACAGTTGAAGAAGAATTCGATACTGCTTCTCGTGTGCTTCCTCCTCCTTTTCATAAATTTTCGATATAATATAATTTCGAGAAAATCCCCAAAATCTTGACTCTCTCGACAACTTTTACCCTCCAAGAAGACACCCCTTCATTGGCCTAAAATGATAGACCTGTGAGATGTCGATGAATGGACGACTGGTTTGACACCCCTACATTACTTGGACTTTTGACTTACATATCCTTGGCTCTAACACTGGTGTATTTTTGTTCCACTTATTAATCAGAATCTAGCCATATGTTCATGAAATAGAAACACGTCATTCTTAATGTATTCTTTTCAACACACTTGTGGGAGCGCGAGAATGAAAGATCCTTCAGGAGCCTAAAAGTAATACGAGACTACCAGTGGCAGACCCAGGAAGGAAGTTCAGTGGGGCGAAACCAAAAAGATTTGAAAAAAAATCTGGACAACAAAACTAAAAAAATCCGAAGAAAAATCGGGAAATCTGAAAATTGAGTGGGGGCGGCAACCCCCACTGGTCCTCAAGTAGGTCAGCCCCTGTTCACTACTATACCTCCCATGTGTGTTATGTGTGTTAAATTTCTTTGTAATGGTTGGGTTGTGCAACAAAACTAGTACTTTGTGCATCCTGTTTTTTGGTTTCTTTAGTAATCTTGTCAATGCAAGGCATTGGAGGTTAGCATTATGGTGTAAGTTTGTTAGACATTAATTCAACATGTCCTTGAATACTAGAGAAGCATTGTCGATTTCAGTTGCTGAGTTTTCCATCGTCTTAGTGCTGCCAAAAGGATAATTGTTATCTTCACCTTTAGATTATAGATGAAGTCAAAATTAGCATGCCAATACTAAAGCAAAAAAAGATGAAAATCCAAACACATTTAGATATCGCCAACTCATTCTAATTGATGTTTAAATTTAAAGGACTAGATAGTGCTATTCCTAAACACCTGGGCAAGAATATTGATTGCCCAAGCATCTTGTGCCATTATCAGAGTTCAACTGAGAGACGTTGCCTTGCCACCAGAAGAATTTAGAAGTATCAGATCACTCAAGAAAGGGGATTACTAAACAAGTGTATTTGGTATGAGTGTGTTGAAATGTTGTTCAAAATTAATAAAATACGGATGTGGAATGATGTAGAATGAAAATAAAAATTGGAGCCACATAGTTGAACTATGCAACTGCATAGTTCAAGGAACTATGTGGTCACATAGGATTTGCCAATGCAACCGCATAGAAGAATTTTGTGGCCGTTATTTGGCCCTTTTTAGCCGTTATGTTTTTTAATTTGAAGGCTTTTCATACATTTTTGGCACCATTTCGTAGAAGACATTTGAAGGCTATAAATTTGTGATTTATGTTCAAGGCAGTATGATGAAAAATCATTATTGAACAATATATATTCCACAAAGCATAGAAATTATCCATTTTCTTCTTCATATTCAAATTTTTCATTGTGTTTTTCAAGTTCTGGAGGATTTCACTTAAGGCTTGAGTGTCAAATCATTTTACAAGACTTGTTTAAATCCTGCAAACCATTTGCCAAAATCCTTCAAGCATCATTTTCAATCCAATAAAGGGTAAATATAGTTTGAGGACAACGATATCATGTGCAAGCCATTGGTGTTTGTTTTTTACATCAATTTCTTGGTTTGGTGTTTGGTTCGTGGCTTTCTTTAGTGATCTTTAATTTTCTGTTTTGGTTCGTTGCTTTGTTCTCCAATCCCTCAAGTGGAAGTCATCAGATTCCCAACAGAGTGCATTCTTGGTCTATGTAGTTGCTATCTATTCATTTGTGGAACTCTCACTTACTTCTCTGGTTTCAAATTGCGATTCAAAGCAAAGAACTTCGGTGTGATTGAACTTATCAACCCAAAAGACCATGATTAACCAATACAGCAGGTAATTGTGTATCGGATAGATGGTGGTGTTGATTATAGTTTTGAGTGCATTGGGAATGTCTCTGTGATGAGGGCTGCTCTGGATTGCCGCCATAAGGTTACTTATTTAAAAATTTTGTACTTAAATCTTTGACGCCACATTTGCAGTTGGGTATGCTGAATTTCTCTATAAAATTGTAGGGATGGGGAACCTCAGTTATTGTGGGCGTTGCAGCATCAGGTCAAGAGATATCTACACGACCATTTCAGCTGGTAACTGGTCGTGTCTGATATCTACACGACCATTTCAAATCCAAACTCATTCTGCTTCTCCGCGTCACAGGAAATTAAGGTTGACATTACTATCACACAATTTGCTCTTCCAGATATAAACAAAGCTTTTAAGTTGATACATGATGGGGTTTACCTCCGAGTTGTGCTTAATATGCATGCATATCATGATCCAACTTCCATTCTGTTAATAAATGGTAACTCGAATCCCTTCGGGGATGGTCGAGTTGGTGGAGCAGGTGAACGCGGAGACCAAAGATCACGAGTTCGAATCTCTTGCCAACACTTCTTCGGTCGAGCTTATCGCACCGGGTTTGTCTAGTGCGGTTTACCTCTCCTGTGTAGTTTGCGGGCTATTGCACATGAAGTGAGGTTTACCTAGTGCGCACTCATAGTGATCGGGCCTCCGCCCCTTGGGGATGATCGGGGCTCTGTTGGTGGGTAGCGGCTGCGGGTTCGTACGAAACAAAAAATGGTAACTCGAATTCATCTTTCCAGTTTTTGGATTTGCCACTATGGTTGAGATTTGACATTTTCCTTGATGGTTTGCTAGGATTTTGGACCGTGTCCATTCTCTTATTATTGCAAGGAAATAGTGTGGAATCAAGTTTGCCAATTGAAAGTTAGTGGGAAAACTTGGTACTTTCGGTTCTAGATTAATCGGAATAATTCTAATTGAAGTTTCA